AATTTGTCGAACTTTGTATTTATATACTCAGCAAGTTCATATTGTTCCTATCCTACTGTGCCCTCAGAGTTTATTCTCCAGCTATCTGTGTTTACTCCATTGATGGATAGTCACCCAGGGCACATCCCAGATGAAAGGTACACAATGGTCGAAGGCAGTTCAGTGTTATGCTCTCTCCTGTCTCTGTCGTTATTGGTAGATGCACAATATTAGCGCCCTTTTGAACAACTAGATTCAGCAAACCTATTCAGATCTTGGCTGCATGCATTGCTCAGATCATATTGGACTTAAATGCACTGGCAACTCATCTCTTCTATACCAGTTTATGACCCAGCTTTTATGTGCAATCATAAGGCTCTTAACCTGTCTTTAGAAGGTGTTTGCTCTTGACCAGAAAATCCCAAAGGAGAATGTCAGGCCATCATTTTGTGACCTCAAGCTGAAGAATACTTGGGGTTTGAAGAATACTTGGGTTTTGCATCTGAAACACACCAGCAGGTCCACCTCTGAATGGCTCAGAGGAAGCTTGATGACGGTTCTGAAGTGGCCTATCAAAAGTCGCACTTGCCGATTAAGAAGCTACAGCATCTCAATCGGCAACCATAGCAACCATCCACTGTGGCCAAATTAAAACAATTCTGCAGAGAAGGGAAGAAAATTCCTCCAAAGCGATGCGAAAGACTCATAGCATTATGGCAAACGCTGATTTTCGTGTTGTTGCCGCCAAGGGGGGGCAATTACTTTTTCACATGGGGCCAAGTAGGTCTGGATAACTTTTTTCCCTTAATAAATAAAATCATCATTTAAAGACTGCATTTTGAATTGACTCGGGTTATCTGTCTCATATTTAAATTGAGTTGATGATTTGAACCATTTAAGTATGACAGATATGTAAAATAAGAAAACAGGAATGGATATATATGACACATACTAAAGGCCCATGCCTAGTTATTGACTCGATAAGCTGTTTGCTTGTTTTGTAAATTGAGCTCAGGAAAAGCCCTTTCAAAAACAGCCTCTCTCCTTTTGGATTGAGCAGATTATTACCACAGCTTTGCCTGTGAAGGGGGCTGATATCCTGGCAACGCTCACATTCACTTTCAAACAGCATCTTGGAATTATTTTTATGGCTTTTATTGGAAGATGCCATTGATGATAACTGCATTTCACTTTACCAGTCATTAGATACTGGCATGTGAATGTGAAAAGGCTCTCATTAACCTCTTTCTTTCTCTTTGTTGCACTGCCAGGATTTGTCAGGGTATTTACTTCTTATCCTCTGCGCAGTCGGCGTTACTCCAGATGAACCGGCCAGAGGGGAAAGCAAGCTTATTTACATAGCCCCACTTTTCAGAGAGAAATAACAACAACAGTTGGCCTTTCCCAATCCCTCAGGACTCGACAGAGTGCAGACGTGAACTCTGTGAGTAAGCGTGTTACATGAAATAATTAAGCACTTCAAACGGTCTGGGCCTATGACACACACTAACTTTCAGTCCTATGGATGTGCCCTCAAACTAACTGAAGTTAAAACATCTGCAACACTAAATTCACAGTGGATTTCAGAAGCTGGTGTTTATATTGTATTATATTACGGGTAGATGAAATCCAGCGTTCTGATTGGTTGAGAGTGAGTCACGGGGGGCATTATTGAGCAATAATGTACAGTTGCTGTTCACAGTGAACCTCAGCACATACGGGGACAATTTTTCTCCAGACTATTGAAATAAGATACACAACGTTTGGTGGCTGATACTATTTTGTGCTAAAAGGCAGCTATTTACTTCCTATTTATAATTTCGCTGGTAACCATATTATAAACGAAATAAGGTACTTGAGGCAGTACTTAATCCTCAATAATGTTCAAGGGTTTCCGGCCGGTGCATGGGGCTTAACAACACCCCCGAACTGTTACATTATTGGACAATAAAGTACATCCTCTCGTACCTTATTGCTTGAAAATAGCCACGTGAGTTTATGTGGTTGCAGTAAAAAAGATTATCTCAATCACGCGTTAATGTAAAGTTAAATGCATTGTGTTAAAGTAACCCTCTAAAACAGAAAAGATTCAACCATAAGGTAGTTTTTTTCCCATTGCATTTATTGGCCGTTGAATTGTCAGTTTGTTTTTAAGGATTATGAGGTGACTTTGCTCTGTCAGGAAGATGCTGTACTGACGCTGTTGTAAATGGTTTGTTCAACTTCAGTAAGTATTTCATCAATCTAATACTTCATAAAAAGTATCATAAATACGCACTGTGGTATACTCTGCAGCTAAAAAGAATGGATTGTCTTTTCCACACGTTAAATCATTAGAAGGCTTTTTGTTTCTTATTAATTAGCCATTAGTTGATTAGGATTCAAAACACACAATCTGCTGGTTTTTCATTTGTTCTCCCATCCCAGTACAGCCCTTGTGTCATTTTAGCCCACTGTCCTGCATTTCTTACTGACTTTTATTATGGGATTTCTATGACGCCGTTCACGGAAGCTAAACCCTGGCCTTTACTGCTGTGTCTGTTTACTGCTGGATACAAAATAAAAATGAAATCCTTTGAAATGCAAATCACGACACGCACAACAGATTAAAAAAAGAAAGAAAAAAAGGTGTCCCCTTGCTGAGAAGAGTGTATTATGTTTTTACAGTGGCTTAAACATGGCCATGTGAAGAATCTGTCATTATTTGGGATGTCAGGCTATTTGATCCTGGGAAATGCTGTAGGAAAAGTCTCAGTATATCCTAACATTTTGCCAAACACTCCCTTAAATAAGTGCACTTATTGGACGTGTGAATAAAGAATAACCTAATTCCAGTGGTCCGGTAAACAAATACAAAACAGTTTGTCAGGGGTCATCGTGGCACAGGGGTTAGAGAAGGTGTGCTGGGAAGCACAAGGTTGGTGGTTCGAGTCCAGGCTCCCCCATGTTCCATGTCGAAGTGTCCCTGAGCAAGACTCCTAACCCCTAATTGCTCCCCGGGCAAAATGTGAAAAAGCCATGGGTTTAAAAAGTGTAATGTAAGTCGCTTTGGATAAAAGCGTCTGCTAAATGACCTGTAATGTAATGTAAAGTTTGTTGAATCAAACGTGTTCACTGGCCAGAGCGAAGGATCTCCTGCATAGATTGAAACTTTTTGATGTTCTAGAGGAGCTTTTGGTGTCTCTTGTACAATAACGCAATATTCTATTCATCTTCACTGCCATCAAGTTCTGATGCCTCTGGCTACATAATACAACATTTCCTGATCCAAATGTTGATCAGTAGAGCTCCTGTCAAATCCTGTCACGGTGTGGTTCACTTCATGTTATATTTTGTAGTTTTCTGCCACTCGTGTCCCCGGGTAACTTCACTTCCTGCCTTGTCATGTCATCCCCTGTGATCGTCTAATAGTTTCCACCTGTGTCCAATCACCTGCACCTCCCCTAGTGTATTTAAGCCATGTGTGTCTGTTGTCACTTGTCGCGTCATTGTCTTTCGCCACGCATGTCCTTGTCTCCCGTCGTTTGCAGTTCCTGTCTCCCGTTTTGCCCCTTGGCCTTTTGCTTTAACCTTTTTGACAATTAAAGTCCCTTTTGATTTTTAACTCTGCGTCTGAGTCCTACCTCCCGCAATCCCTGACAATCCTGTACAAATGTGGCAAGGGGAGTCCTCACATTGGCTCACGCACCTCGTATCTCTTGGCAAATAGATTTCCGTGCCGTGCAGCAGGAGAGTCGACTAAATATGTAATAGGCTCACTGTCTGTAAAATTCAGGAAATTACGAATAGATATTTAATGGACTGGTTGGGCTTCGATACATCACTTCAACATGTGCTCACGCGTGGGAGGATGTAATGGATGTGGAAGGCAAATGGTGTTGGTCAAGAAACAAATGTGCTTTATCTTATCAATCTTAAATTAGACCGTCAAGTATATAATGTCAACTCCTACGTATTACTTTACATCTTGCATTTCATCGAACACTACCCTCAAGGGTGAAATGAATATGATGTCACACGTGTGTGCAGAGATGCAAAGATAACATTGTTGAGGAATACTAGAGTCATGCATTTGCCTTAAATGGTAGCAGTCTGAGAGTATTTGAGAGTACCATTGAATAACAAGACTTCTTTTAAAATGACAGCGGTGACAACCTTGGCGACCAGGGGGCAACAATGACAGCTGCTAGTGAAAGGGTGGCCAGCAACTTTCACAAGATAGCCGTATCACACATTGTGAGGAGTCAAAATTAAATGAAAATCTCAGGGGCGAAAATGAGGAGTCATTACAGTAAAATTCAATTTCACTTGTTGGCGCTCCAGTTTTATCTCTGCTGTGTGGCAGGTCATTGCATTAAGGTTTAACATCCTGTTTTTAAACAGGTTACAATGATAACTCATTTTTGCTTCAGCACCACTACACTGTAAGAAAAGATCCTAATTTTACGAGAAATAACTTTCTTTATTACAATAATTATTATAAATGAATAACTTTTTTTAAATGATGTTCAAAACTCTATAAAAATTAAGATATTATCTGTAAATTAAGAGTCCAACTTTAAATTTAAGTATTATGCTCATAATTACGAATTACATTTTTATTTATTAGGGTAGAAATACTGTAATTATTCTGGAGTATTTTACTGTTTTTTAAAATTACATTCAAATCATGTAAAAAAAACAGTCAAATGACTGGCAGCTACGGCTGCCAAACAAAAACTGTAAAATGAAGTTAAATTACTTAATTCACATAAAATGCAAAAACCATCAATTTACAGGAACAATTTTACAGAGAAACACATTTGTTTTATAGATTTTTCCTGTAGTATTACGATGAAACAACTTTAAATAAAGGAATATCACTAAATATTCTCCGCCGAAAAGGTGTTAATTTACAGATTTCGTCTATTATTACAATGAAACACTTTCAATACAGGGATATCAATTAAAGTTCTGCGGACAAACTGTTATTTTACAGTTTTTTCCTGTATTATTACGATCAAACACCTTCAATAAAGAGATTTGCAGTAAAACACTATTATTTTATAAAAGTAACTTAATTTTGTCCTGTAACGCAATGTCAATTCTCATGAACTATACGCTTTAGTACAAGATTTTCAATGTTTTCAAACTAGGGGTTTGAAAAGTACACACCACTATCAACTTTGAATAATTGATATTGTGAATGTACACCTGAAAACATTAAATGACATTCACAGTTCTCCACGGACCCCCAGGAGGAATTTAACTAAAAAGGTAATTTCTCCATGTGTTTATCTTGACAGGGGGCTCCCTATTTAATAGTGGTTATATGAGGACAAACATTCCAGTTTTAAGTCAGAATCCCAACTGCAGTAATTAATTACCTGTCATTAAATATCTAGTTCATTACATAAAGGTTTATTTCCATACTAACAATTTAACCATTTTCTTTATAATTTTAAGGGAAATGTGTTCACAATAGTCAATGTTTCATAACGGATAATAACACAAAAGGCAGTGAAAGGTCCCACTCTTTAATTTTAGTCAAAGCATAAAAGGCAGACAACAAAATATAGCCTTCATAAAAAACTGGAATACTGTTAACACTGCTGAGTGGAGGGGTCCAGGAAGACCCTCTTCACAAAATGTTTTCAAACATCAGATATCTGATTTTTTTTCACTTTACCTAAAGCAAACAGTGAAACTTACAGTGACATATAACCTGCTTGTCATATATTATATCCGCATAAACTGCAGGAATTTCAATACTTATCACTAAGGACCACTCTTGGTAACATTGCATTAAAACATTGTAACAAAATGATAATAAATTACAACCAGGAGAATTATAATACAATATAATCCTTGCAAAGGAATGTCAGTGAGCGAGCAACAATTATGAAGGAATATGATATTTGACCTTATAAGTCATAAGCTTCATGAATATTTAGGTCCTTATAACTATAATTGACAGTGCCAGAAGCAGATTGTAACACATTACAAGTATCTTTACAATGCATTAGACATAGGCTTCATAGAAAGTGTTACCTTTTTTCCTACTGTTTTACTGCATCTCAAGGACACTTACCACAGTGCCAAGCAAATCATCACAATAGGACAAAAAATGAACAAAAAAAAACTCCAGAAACAAGAACCAGAAATCCAACCTGCACCGTGGTTTCCTATTGTTCCCAAAACTAACATAGCAACTCTTTTGGACTGAACGATGTATTGATTTATTGACTGATGATTATGTCTATATCAAAGCCGCTTCCATCGATGATGTCACAGTGTCTATATCAAAGCCGCTTCCATCGATGATGTCACAGGGGGAGTGACAATATTGATTCGCAGGATGGGAGAAAACTTTTTTTTTTAAGTTTAATGTTTTTAGTTTATTAATTTTAGTATTTAGTTTTAGATGTAAATTCTTATTTCTTAATTCATGTAATTGCAGGTCTATGATAGTCGTACCGGCTTTCTCTTATACTGCCATATTATGTTTTATGGTTTGCTTGGTCTCGTCCTGCGATTTACAGAGTTTGGTCACTAATGCTGTTAAATTCTGGGTGGTGTGGCGCAAATCCCGGATCTCCTTTAACAACTCGCCATGTCGGTCATTCTCTTCGGCATTCGGTACAACCAGCGCAGCGTCCTCTCTCTGCTCACCTACAGCCTTCTGGTCTCGCCTCCTCTCAGGTCCGATTCGAGGTCCTCAACACGGCGTATTAATTCCTCATCGCTTATTAGGTCGTCGTATCTTGAGGTAAAAAGTTCCGGCTCTTCATTCGGTGTAGTCCACGCCGCCAAAGGCTGTCTGCACAATAATAAAAGAAAGTGTATAAATATATGCACATAAGCTCAAACCCAAACTCTCGATTGATACATACCTTTTAACCTTTTGTGTGTTTAACCTTTTGCATGTGTTTATCACCTCGTGCCTGTTTGGGAGGAAACTATAGACCTGTGTAAAAATGTTTTTATATAACACAAGTTATATAAAGTGGATAGAGATATTATTACATTACACACGCACTAACAACTTTATTACCTCCCCTGGTGTCCTGACGGGTGGGAGCTAACGCGGGCCTTTTTATTGGAGGTTTAAACACCGCGGGGCCTTCTGATGGATACCACAGCCCTGAGTAGAAAACATTTTTGAATGTTATATAATGTAGATAAAGATCTAAAATGTTGCTATATCGGCCAATAAAAACTTCAATTCCTCCCCACATGTCCTTGGATGTGGACTCTATCGCAGGCGTTTTTATTGTGGGTTTAACCCACTTTGGTCCTTTTGGAGAACACCCTGGAGAATGTTTGACAAAAGTTCTATAAGTAGGTGAAAGGTCTCAAATGTTATAATATCATGCGGTTCACGTCCTTACCATCCAAGGACGGCTTACTTGTTGAGGGTTGTGGTAAGCCACTCAATGCTTGTTGCGAGTTGTTTTTGTATTTCTTGAAGGTTTCTTAGCTCGGTCTGCAGGCCTGTTTCCACGCTTTTTGTAGTTAGGATCCTAAAGATGGTGGAAGGCTGTCTGCAGTCGCTTTCTAAAAGATATTTGCATACATGTAAATACAATTTAAATACGTTAAGATGGAGAAAATAAAACAATTATAAAATCACTAGACCTCATCGATGCTTTAGATGGTTAACCCCCCTCTGGACTGTCATATCGTTGAGAAACCTTAATGAATATATACTTGTAAGTATAATGCTTGTTTTACTAAAACACGTAATCAACAATAAAACACACTACTCACCACCAAGGTGTTCCATCGTCGCTCAGGGTGGCAAAATAGGATCCTTGTAGACAAGAGTATCTAAAACTCTCTGTAACCACGTACTGCAACAAAGTTGTTTATAAATTCCCCCAAATACCTAAATAGATGCTTTTGTGTGGGGGTGGTTACATACACCTATTGGGCCCTGGGTATTTTCTGGTCAAAATGTGTCTGCTCAACCTGTCTGTTGTTTGTTTCTGATAATGATTATGTGACTTCATAAGCATAAGCAACCATAGAAAACACCTTCGAGCACGAGCAGAGGTTAACCTCGCGAGCAACAAAGTTCACGTTCCGCAAGCGAGCAAGTATCTCGCGGGGGACAAACTTTTGCTCGCGGATGTTTGATTTACGCGCGCGCATCAACTCGATTTGCGCTCTCGAATTTTGACAGGGATTTGCCGCCGTAGATGGATGTCAGGTCGAAAATTGTCACTGCAGACTCATGAGACACTCTGGATATTTCGATGCGAATGAAGCATGGTGCGTATCGAAGTGCCGCTTTATCTTTGACCGTTTCATCGATGCAATTTTATGATTGCATATTAGACATACCGCAGATCCTGCTCTGTCCACAAGTGCAAATTCCTCTGTCCACGCAGCCTGAAATGCACGGTAATCGTCTTTTTTTGTTTAAGTATTTTAAAATCAGTTCCAAACTGATTTTTATTTTTTTTTTCAACTGGGAGCCATATGCAGTCACCGGAAGAGCCATAGGTTCCCGACCGCTGACTTACACGATTATTCATGGGCGAGCTTCCTATGACACAAACAGATATAAAACATGAAATAACATTTTTTGAAAACCCGAGCACCGGGAGAAAACCACATAGAGAAGGGCGTCTACCTCCGACGATCTAGTGGCAAAATCCACTCCCCTTCTCTCCTCTCCTCCACCATTTTTTTTTTTGAAAACCAGAGCAACCTGGAGTAAAACACAAGTCAGAGAAGGACCAGACGGGGATGGAGGAGCAGAGGATGGACTCGATGATGGCCGTGTAGAAGTGCACCATCATCGTCTTTGGCAGGTTGAGTTTCTTCAGCTGCCTCAGGAAGAACAACCTCTGCTGAGCCTTCTTGGTGATGGAGCTGATGTTCAGCTCCCACTTGAGGTCCTGGGTGATGATGGAGCCCAGGAAACGGAAGGAATCCACAATAGTGACGGGGGAGTCACACGGGGTGATGGGGGAGGGTGGGGCTCTGTTCCTCCTGAAATCCACAACCATCTCCATTGTCTTTAGAGCGTTGAGCTCCAGGTTGTTCTGGCTGCACCACGACACCAGATGGTCAGACTCCCACCTGTAGGCGGACTCGTCCCCACCAGAGATTAGTCCAATGAGGGTGGTGTCATCCGCAAACTTCAGGAGCTTGACGGACTGATGACTGGAGGTGCAGCTGTTGGTGTACAGGGAGAAGAGCAGAGGGGAAAGAACGCAGCCTTGGGGGGAACCGGTGCTGATGGTCCGAGAGGCTGAGACATGTTTCCCCAGCTTCACGTGCTGCTTCCTGTCAGACAGGAAGTCTGTGATCCCACTTGCAGGTGGAGTCGGGCACGTGCAGCTGGGAGAGTTTGTCCTGCAGCAGAGACGGGATGATAGTGTTAAAAGCAGAGCTGAAGTCCACAAACAGGATCCTGGCGTAGGTTCCTGGGGAGTCCAGATGCTGGAGGATGTAGTGGAGGGCCATGTTGACAGCATCGTCCACAGACCTGTTGGCTCGGTAGGCGAACTGCAGGGGGTCCAGGAGGGGGTCGGTGAGGGACTTCAGGTGGGACAGGACTAGCCGTTCAAAAGACTTCATGACTACAGAGGTCAGGGCGACGGGCCTGTAGTCATTGAGTCCTGTGATCCTGGGCTTCTTGGGGACAGGGATGATGGTGGAGGCCTTGAAGCAGGCTGGTACGTGGCATGTCTCCAGGGAGGTGTTGAAGATGTCAGTGAACACCGGAGACAGCTGGTCAGCACAATGCTTCAGGGAGTGAGGGGAAACGGAGTCCGGACCGGCTGCCTTACGGGGATTTAGTCTTCTAAAGAGCCGGTTAACGTCTCTCTCCAGAATAGAGAGGGTCGTTGCTGGTGGGGGAGGGGATGGTGATAATGATGAAGAGGCGTGAGCACCTGATGGGCTGGGGGAGGGAGGGGAGGGGGACTGCAGCAGGTTGGTGGAGCTGTGGGGGATGGGATCAGGACATTGTCTTTCAAATCTGCAGTAGAACTCATTGAGCTCGTCTGCCAGGCGGAGGTCATTCATGGAGTGGGGGGTTTTTGGCTTGTAGTTGGTGAGGTGTTTGAGGCCTCTCCAAACCGAAGCAGAGTCACTTGCTGAGAACTGTTGTTGGAGTTTCTCCTGAAGAGGCGATGGAAAAATCCTCTCCTCCTTTCCTGATCTGCCATCTTCCTCTTCAGCTTTGCCATCTCTGTGGCTCTGTCCTCCATCTTCCGTCCAAAGAATCCTAGAATTCTTTTCTTCAGCTCGAGGCAAATATCCTCAAGGATGACATTTTCCTGGCCAAGAACCATCTTTTCCTTCTCCAGGACTTCCTTTTCCTGCCCAAGGACCATCTTTTCGTCCTGGAGAGCCAACTTTTCTTGCACCAGGAGCATATTGTCCTGGCCCAGGGCGATATTTTTCTGCCCCAAGAGCATATTGTCCTGGGCCAGAGCAATATTTTTCTGCCCCAAGAGCATGTTTTCCTGGCCCAGGCTGATATTTTTCTGCCCCAAGAGCATATTTTCCTGTTCCAGGGCCATTTTTTTCTCCCCCAGGACAATCCCTTCCTCATCTAGAACCTTCTTTCCCTCCTCCAGAACCTCAATTTTCTGTTCCAAGAACATTCTTTTCTGTTCCAGAACGTTCTTATGTTCCTCCAGCTGCGTTGTCTTGGCCTGCTCAGCATGGAGGGCAAAAACCACGTTTTGGTGTTCTGCCAGGAGAATCTCGTACTCTTGTGTAGAGTTTGTCTGGATCTGTTGGAGTTTGGCCGCCTTCTCTGAGAAGTGGTCCTCAAGTTCAAGGTTGTATGACTCGATCGCCCTACTTAGCAGAAGCTGCACTTCTGCTTCACGATCTTCAAACATCTTTTTGACATCTTGAAGACTCTCTTTCAGACTTGAGATCTCTGACGCTTGACTCGTAATGGTTTGTTGAGCCGCTGTCATATCTGTCTTATCTGCGTTCTGCAGATTACTTGGCCCTGGAGCAACCGTTTGGTTGGCGGCAAGCTTCTTCCAAAAACACATTTTTTTGGAAAAATCCATTGTATTGTTTTCTGTTTTGGGAGAATTTCTGTCTTTGTCCTTCCTTTTCTGTGTAAATCCTCTGTCTAAATCTTGAACGCTTATCCCCGTAGGTGTTGGATGAAGTCTGATGTGTGCTTGTGAGTGGCTGTATAACTAGTGAAGCTCCAAGGGGGGTGCCCCTTCCATTGATGTCATACATTGTATGCATCAATGCATCACATTGATGCATACAATGTATGACATTGTATGACATCAATGGAAGGGGCTTCACTAGTTATACAGCCACTCACAAGCACATTCCATTGATGTCCCTGGTGACATCAATGGAAGGGGCACCCCCCTTGGATCTTCAGTAGATATACAGCATCACAGCCGATTCCATCGATGATGTCACAGTGTCTACATCCAAGGGGCGTGGCCTAAATGATTCCATTATGATGTCAGTGTATACATCACAGCCAATTCCATCGATGATGTCACAGTGTCTACATCCAAGGGGCGTGGCCTTAATGATTCCATTGATGATGTCAGTGTATACATCACCGCCGATTCCATTGATGATGTCACAGTGTCTACATCAAAGCCGCTTCCATCGATGATGTCACAGTGTGTACATCAAAGCCGCTTCCATCGACGATGTCACAGTGTATACATCAAAGCCGCTTCCATCGATGATGTCACAGTGTCTATATCAAAGCCGCTTCCATCGATGATGTCACAGGGGGAGTGACAATATTGATTCGCAGGATGGGAGAAAACTTTTTTTTCAAGTTTAATGTTTTTAGTTTATTAATTTTAGTATTTAGTTTTAGATGTAAATTCTTATTTCTTAATTCATTTAATTGCAGGTCTATGATAGTCGTACCGGCTTTCTCTTATACTGCCATATTATGTTTTATGGTTTGCTTGGTCTCGTCCTGCGATTTACAGAGTTTGGTCACGAATGCTGTTAAATTCTGGGTGGTGTGGCGCAAATCCCGGATCTCCTTTAACAACTTGCCATGTCGGTCATTCTCTTCGGCATTCAGTACAACCAGCGCAGCGTCCTCTCTCTGCTCACCTACAGCCTTCTGGTCTCGCCTCCTCTCAGGTCCGATTCGAGGTCCTCAACACGGCGTATTAATTCCTCATCGCTTATTAGGTCGTCGTATCTTGAGGTAAAAAGTTCCGGCTCTTCATTCGGTGTAGTCCACGCCGCCAAAGGCTGTCTGCACAATAATAAAAGAAAGTGTATAAATATATGCACATAAGCTCAAACCCAAAAATATGTCTCGATTGATACATACCTTTTAACCTTTTGTGTGTTTAACCTTTTGCATGTGTTTATCACCTCGTGCCTGTTTGGGAGGAAACTATAGACCTGTGTAAAAATGTTTTTATATAACACAAGTTATATAAAGTGGATAGAGATATTATTACATTACACACGCACTAACAACTTTATTACCTCCCCTGGTGTCCTGACGGGTGGGAGCTAACGCGGGCCTTTTTATTGGAGGTTTAAACACCGCGGGGCCTTCTGATGGATACCACAGCCCTGAGTAGAAAACATTTTTGAATGTTATATAATGTAGATAAAGACCTAAAATGTTGCTATATCGGCTAATAAAAACTTCAATTCCTCCCCACATGTCCTTGGATGTGGACTCTATCGCAGGCGTTTTTATTGTGGGTTTAACCCACTTTGGTCCTTTTGGAGAACACCCTGGAGAATGTTTGACAAAAGTTCTATAAGTAGGTGAAAGGTCTCAAATGTTATAATATCATGCGGTTCACGTCCTTACCATCCAAGGACGGCTTACTTGTTGAGGGTTGTGGTAAGCCACTCAATGCTTGTTGGGAGTTGTTTTTGTATTTCTTGAAGGTTTCTTAGCTCGGTCTGCAGGCCTGTTTCCACGCTTTTTGTAGTTAGCCTTCCACCATCTTTAGGATCCTGTCTGCAGTCGCTTTCTAAAAGATATTTGCATACATGTAAATACAATTTAAATACGTTAAGATGGGAGAAAATAAAACAATTATAAAATCACTAGACCTCATCGATGCTTTAGATGGTTAACCCCCCTCTGGACTGTCATATCGTTGAGAAACCTTAATGAATATATACTTGTAAGTATAATGCTTGTTTTACTAAAACACGTAATCAACAATAAAACACACTACTCACCACCAAGGTGTTCCATCGTCGCTCAGGGTGGCAAAATAGGATCCTTGTAGACAAGAGTATCTAAAACTCTCTGTAACCACGTACTGCAACAAAGTTGTTTAAAAATTCCCCCAAATACCTAAATAGATGCTTTTGTCTGGGGGTGGTTACATACACCTATTGGGCCCTGGGTATTTTCTGGTCAAAATGTGTCTGCTCAACCTGTCTGTTGTTTGTTTCTGATAATGCTTATGTGACTTCATAAGCATAAGCAACCATAGAAAACACCTTCGAGCACGAGCAGAGGTTAACCTCGCGAGCAACAAAGTTCACGTTCCGCAAGCGAGCAAGTATCTCGCGGGGGACAAACTTTTGCTCGCGGATGTTTGATTTACGCGCGCGCATCAACTCGATTTGCGCTCTCGAATTTTGACAGGGATTTGCCGCCGTAGATGGATGTCAGGTCGGTAATTGTCACTGCACACTCATGAGACACTCTGGATATTTCGATGCGAATGAAGCATGGTGCGTATCGAAGTGCCGCTTTATCTTTGACCGTTTCATCGATGCAATTTTATGATTGCATATTAGACATACCGCAGATCCTGCTCTGTCCACAAGTGCAAATTCCTCTGTCCACACAGCCTGAAATGCACAGTAAACGTCTATTTTTGTTTAAGTATTTTAAAATCAGTTCCAAACTGATTTTTTTTTTTTTTTTCAACTGGGAGCCATATGCAGTCACCGGAAGAGCCATAGGTTCCCGACCGCTGACTTACACGATTATTCATGGGCGAGCTTCCTATGACACAAACAGATATAAAACATGAAATAACATTTTTTGAAAACCCGAGCACCGGGAGAAAACCACATAGAGAAGGGCGTCTACCTCCGACGATCTAGTGGCAAAATCCACTCCCCTTCTCTCCTCTCCTCCACCATTTTTTTTTTTGAAAACCAGAGCAACCTGGAGTAAAACACAAGTCAGAGAAGGACCAGACGGGGATGGAGGAGCAGAGGATGGACTCGATGATGGCCGTGTAGAAGTGCACCATCATCGTCTTTGGCAGGTTGAGTTTCTTCAGCTGCCTCAGGAAGAACAACCTCTGCTGAGCCTTCTTGGTGATGGAGCTGATGTTCAGCTCCCACTTGAGGTCCTGGGTGATGATGGAGCCCAGGAAACGGAAGGAATCCACAATAGTGACGGGGGAGTCACACAGGGTGATGGGGGAGGGTGGGGCTCTGTTCCTCCTGAAATCCACAACCATCTCCATTGTCTTTAGAGCGTTGAGCTCCAGGTTGTTCTGGCTGCACCACGACACCAGATGGTCAGACTCCCACCTGTAGGCGGACTCGTCCCCACCAGAGATTAGTCCAATGAGGGTGGTGTCATCCGCAAACTTCAGGAGCTTGACGGACTGATGACTGGAGGTGCAGCTGTTGGTGTACAGGGAGAAGAGCAGAGGGGAAAGAACGCAGCCTTGGGGGGAACCGGTGCTGATGGTCCGAGAGGCTGAGACATGTTTCCCCAGCTTCACGTGCTGCTTCCTGTCAGACAGGAAGTCTGTGATCCACTTGCAGGTGGAGTCGGGCACGTGCAGCTGGGAGAGTTTGTCCTGCAGCAGAGACGGGATGATAGTGTTAAAAGCAGAGCTGAAGTCCACAAACAGGATCCTGGCGTAGGTTCCTGGGGAGTCCAGATGCTGGAGGATGTAGTGGAGGGCCATGTTGACAGCATCGTCCACAGACCTGTTGGCTCGGTAGGCGAACTGCAGGGGGTCCAGGAGGGGGTCGGTGAGGGACTTCAGGTGGGACAGGACTAGCCGTTCAAAAGACTTCATGACTACAGAGGTCAGGGCGACGGGCCTGTAGTCATTGAGTCCTGTGATCCTGGGCTTCTTGGGGACAGGGATGATGGTGGAGGCCTTGAAGCAGGCTGGTACGTGGCATGTCTCCAGGGAGGTGTTGAAGATGTCCGTGAACACCGGAGACAGCTGGTCAGCACAATGCTTCAGGGAGTGAGGGGAAACGGAGTCCGGACCGGCTGCCTTACGGGGATTTAGTCTTCTAAAGAGCCGGTTAACGTCTCTCTCCAGAATAGAGAGGGTCGTTGCTGGTGGGGGAGGGGAAGGTGATAATGATGAAGAGGCGTGAGCACCTGATGGGCTGGGGGAGGGAGGGGAGGGGGACTGCAGCAGGTTGGTGGAGCTGTGGGGGATGGGATCAGGACATTGTCTTTCAAATCTGCAGTAGAACTCATTGAGCTCGTCTGCCAGGCGGAGGTCATTCATGGAGTGGGGGGTTTTTGGCTTGTAGTTGGTGAGGTGTTTGAGGCCTCTCCAAACCGAAGCAGAGTCACTTGCTGAGAACTGTTGTTGGAGTTTCTCAGAGTACAGTCGTTTAGCGTCTCTCACCGCCTTGCTAAACTTGTATTTTGCCTTGTATTTTGCCTACCGTCTACCTCCTGACGATCAGGTGGCAAAATCCACCCCCCGTCTCCACCATTTTCCTTTTTAAAAACCCGAGCACCGGGAGAAAAATCTCATGGAGGCGTTTACCTCCTGAAGAGGCGATGGAAAAATCCTCTCCTCCTTTCCTGATCTGCCATCTTCCTCTTCAGCTTTGCCATCTCTGTGGCTCTGTCCTCCATCTTCCGTCCAAAGAATCCTAGAATTCTTTTCCTCAGCTCGAGGCAAATATCCTCGAGGATGACATTTTCCTGGCCAAGAACCATCTTTTCCTTCTCCAGGACTTCCTTTTCCTGCCCAAGGACCATCTTTTCGTCCTGGAGAGCCAACTTTTCTTGCCCCAGGAGCATATTGTCCTGGCCCAGGGCGATATTTTTCTGCCCCAAGAGCATATTTTCCTGGGCCAGAGCGATATTTTTCTGCCCCAAGAGCATGTTTTCCTGGCCCAGGGTGATATTTTTCTGCCCCAAGAGCATATTTTCCTGTTCCAGGGCCATTTTTTTCTCCCCCAGGACAATCCCTTCCTCATCTAGAACCTTCTTTCCCTCCTCCAGAACCTCAATTTTCTGTTCCAAGAACATTCTTTTCTGTTCCAGAACGTTCTTATGTTCCTCCAGCTGCGTTGTCTTGGCCTGCTCAGCATGGAGGGCAAAAACCACGTTTTGGTGTTCTGCCAGGAGAATCTCGTACTCTTGTGTAGAGTTTGTCTGGATCTGTTGGAGTTTGGCCGCCTTCTCTGAGAAGTGGTCCGCAAGTTCAAGGTTGTTTGACTCGATCGCCCTACTTACCAGAAGCTGCACTTCTGCTTCACGATCTTCAAACATCTTTTTGACATCTTGAAGACTCTCTTTCAGACTTGAGATCTCTGACGCTTGACTCGTAATGGTTTGTTGAGCCGCTGTCATATCTGTCTTATCTGCGTTCTGCAGATTACTTGGCCCTGGAGCAACCGTTTGGTTGGCGGCAAGCTTCTTCCAAAAACGCATTTTTTTGGAAAAATCCATTGTATTGTTTTCTGTTTTGGGAGAATTTCTGTCTTTGTCCTTCCTTTCCTGTGTAAATCCTCTGTCTAAATCTTGAACGCTTATCCCCGTAGGTGTTGGATGAAGTCTGATGTGTGCTTGTGAGTGGCTGTATAACTAGTGAAGATCCAAGGGGGGTGCCCCTTCCATTGATGTCATACATTGTATGCATCAATGTGATGTATACACTGACATCAATGGAAGGGGCACCCCCCCTTGGATCTTCAGTAGATATACAGCATCACAGCCGATTCCATCGATGATGTCACAGTGTCTACATCCAAGGGGCGTGGCCTAAATGATTCCATTATGATGTCAGTGTATACATCACAGCCAATTCCATCGATGATGTCACAGTGTCTACATCCAAGGGGCGTGGCCTAAATGATTCCATTGATGATGTCAGTGTATACATCACCGCCGATTCCATTGATGATGTCACAGTGTCTACATCAAAGCCGCTTCCATCGATGATGTCACAGTGTGTACATCAAAGCCGCTTCCATCGACGATGTCACAGTGTATACATCAAAGCCGCTTCCATCGATGATGTCACAGTGTCTATATCAAAGCCGCTTCCATCGATGATGTCACAGTGTCTATATCAAAGCCGCTTCCATCGATGATGTCACAGGGGGAGTGACAATATTGATTCGCAGGATGGGAGAAAACTTTTTTTTTTAAGTTTAATGTTTTTAGTTTATTAATTTTAGTATTTAGTTTTAGATGTAAATTCTTATTTCTTAATTCTTTTAATTGCAGGTCTATGATAGTCGTACCGGCTTTCTCTTATACTGCCATATTATGTTTTATGGTTTGCTTGGTCTCGTCCTGCGATTTACAGAGTTTGGTCACTAATGCTGTTAAATTCTGGGTGGTGTGGCGCAAATCCCGGATCTCCTTTAACAACTCGCCATGTCAGTCATTCTCTTCGGCATTCGGTACAACCAGCGCAGCGTCCTCTCTCTGCTCACCTACAGCCTTCTGGTCTCGCCTCCTCTCAGGTCCGATTCGAGGTCCTCAACACGGCGTATTAATTCCTCATCGCTTATTAGGTCGTCGTATCTTGAGGTAAAAAGTTCCGGCTCTTCATTCGGTGTAGTCCACGCCGCCAAAGGCTGTCTGCACAATAATAAAAGAAAGTGTATAAATATATGCACATAAGCTCAAACCCAAAAATATGTCTCGATTGATACATACCTTTTAACCTTTTGTGTGTTTAACCTTTTGCATGTGTTTATCACCTCGTGCCTGTTTGGGAGGAAACTATAGACCTGTGTAAAAATGTTTTTATATAACACAAGTTATATAAAGTGGATAGAGATATTATTACATTACACACGCACTAACAACTTTATTACCTCCCCTGGTGTCCTGACGGGTGGGAGCTAACGCGGGCCTTTTTATTGGAGGTTTAAACACCGCGGGGCCTTCTGATGGATACCACAGCCCTGAGTAGAAAACATTTTTGAATGTTATATAATGTAGATAAAGACCTAAAATGTTGCTATATCGGCCAATAAAAACTTCAATTCCTCCCCACATGTCCTTGGATGTGGACTCTATCGCAGGCGTTTTTATTGTGGGTTTAACCCACTTTGGTCCTTTTGGAGAACACCCTGGAGAATGTTTGACAAAAATTCTATAAGTAGGTGAAAGGTCTCAAATGTTATAATATCATGCGGTTCACGTCCTTACCATCCAAGGACGGCTTACTTGTTGAGGGTTGTGGTAAGCCACTCAATGCTTGTTGCGAGTTGTTTTTGTATTTCTTGAAGGTTTCTTAGCTCGGTCTGCAGGCCTGTTTCCACGCTTTTTGTAGTTAGGATCCTAAAGATGGTGGAAGGCTGTCTGCAGTCGCTTTCTAAAAGATATTTGCATACATGTAAATACAATTTAAATACGTTAAGATGGAGAAAATGAAACAATTATAAAATCACTAGACCTCATCGATGCTTTAGATGGTTAACCCCCCTCTGGACTGTCATATCGTTGAGAAACCTTAATGAATATATACTTGTAAGTATAATGCTTGTTTTACTAAAACACGTAATCAACAATAAAACACACTACTCACCACCAAGGTGTTCCATCGTCGCTCAGGGTGGCAAAATAGGATCCTTGTAGACAAGAGTATCTAAAACTCTCTGTAACCACGTACTGCAACAAAGTTGTTTAAAAATTCCCCCAAATACCTAAATAGATGCTTTTGTCTGGGGGTGGTTACATACACCTATTGGGCCCTGGGTATTTTCTGGTCAAAATGTGTCTGCTCAACCTGTCTGTTGTTTGTTTCTGATAATGCTTATGTGACTTCATAAGCATAAGCAACCATAGAAAACACCTTCGAGCACGAGCAGAGGTTAACCTCGCGAGCAACAAAGTTCACGTTCCGCAAGCGAGCAAGTATCTCGCGGGGGACAAACTTTTGCTCGCGGATGTTTGATTTACGCGCGCGCATCAACTCGATTTGCGCTCTCGAATTTTGACAGGGATTTGCCGCCGTAGATGGATGTCAGGTCGGTAATTGTCACTGCACACTCATGAGACACTCTGGATATTTCGATGCGAATGAAGCATGGTGCGTATCGAAGTGCCGCTTTATCTTTGACCGTTTCATCGATGCAATTTTATGATTGCATATTAGACATACCGCAGATCCTGCTCTGTCCACAAGTGCAAATTCCTCTGTCCACACAGCCTGAAATGCACAGTAAACGTCTATTTTTGTTTAAGTATTTTAAAATCAGTTCCAAACTGATTTTTTTTTTTTTTTTCAACTGGGAGCCATATGCAGTCACCGGAAGAGCCATAGGTTCCCGACCGCTGACTTACACGATTATTCATGGGCGAGCTTCCTATGACACAAACAGATATAAAACATGAAATAACATTTTTTGAAAACCCGAGCACCGGGAGAAAACCACATAGAGAAGGGCGTCTACCTCCGACGATCTAGTGGCAAAATCCACTCCCCTTCTCTCCTCTCCTCCACCATTTTTTTTTTTGAAAACCAGAGCAACCTGGAGTAAAACACAAGTCAGAGAAGGACCAGACGGGGATGGAGGAGCAGAGGATGGACTCGATGATGGCCGTGTAGAAGTGCACCATCATCGTCTTTGGCAGGTTGAGTTTCTTCAGCTGCCTCAGGAAGAACAACCTCTGCTGAGCCTTCTTGGTGATGGAGCTGATGTTCAGCTCCCACTTGAGGTCCTGGGTGATGATGGAGCCCAGGAAACGGAAGGAATCCACAATAGTGACGGGGGAGTCACACAGGGTGATGGGGGAGGGTGGGGCTCTGTTCCTCCTGAAATCCACAACCATCTCCATTGTCTTTAGAGCGTTGAGCTCCAGGTTGTTCTGGCTGCACCACGACACCAGATGGTCAGACTCCCACCTGTAGGCGGACTCGTCCCCACCAGAGATTAGTCCAATGAGGGTGGTGTCATCCGCAAACTTCAGGAGCTTGACGGACTGATGACTGGAGGTGCAGCTGTTGGTGTACAGGGAGAAGAGCAGAGGGGAAAGAACGCAGCCTTGGGGGGAACCGGTGCTGATGGTCCGAGAGGCTGAGACATGTTTCCCCAGCTTCACGTGCTGCTTCCTGTCAGACAGGAAGTCTGTGATCCACTTGCAGGTGGAGTCGGGCACGTGCAGCTGGGAGAGTTTGTCCTGCAGCAGAGACGGGATGATAGTGTTAAAAGCAGAGCTGAAGTCCACAAACAGGATCCTGGCGTAGGTTCCTGGGGAGTCCAGATGCTGGAGGATGTAGTGGAGGGCCATGTTGACAGCATCGTCCACAGACCTGTTGGCTCGGTAGGCGAACTGCAGGGGGTCCAGGAGGGGGTCGGTGAGGGACTTCAGGTGGGACAGGACTAGCCGTTCAAAAGACTTCATGACTACAGAGGTCAGGGCGACGGGCCTGTAGTCATTGAGTCCTGTGATCCTGGGCTTCTTGGGGACAGGGATGATGGTGGAGGCCTTGAAGCAGGCTGGTACGTGGCATGTCTCCAGGGAGGTGTTGAAGATGTCCGTGAACACCGGAGACAGCTGGTCAGCACAATGCTTCAGGGAGTGAGGGGAAACGGAGTCCGGACCGGCTGCCTTACGGGGATTTAGTCTTCTAAAGAGCCGGTTAACGTCTCTCTCCAGAATAGAGAGGGTCGTTGCTGGTGGGGGAGGGGAAGGTGATAATGATGAAGAGGCGTGAGCACCTGATGGGCTGGGGGAGGGAGGGGAGGGGGACTGCAGCAGGTTGGTGGAGCTGTGGGGGATGGGATCAGGACATTGTCTTTCAAATCTGCAGTAGAACTCATTGAGCTCGTCTGCCAGGCGGAGGTCATTCATGGAGTGGGGGGTTTTTGGCTTGTAGTTGGTGAGGTGTTTGAGGCCTCTCCAAACCGAAGCAGAGTCACTTGCTGAGAACTGTTGTTGGAGTTTCTCAGAGTACAGTCGTTTAGCGTCTCTCACCGCCTTGCTAAACTTGTATTTTGCCTTGTATTTTGCCTACCGTCTACCTCCTGACGATCAGGTGGCAAAATCCACCCCCCGTCTCCACCATTTTCCTTTTTAAAAACCCGAGCACCGGGAGAAAAATCTCATGGAGGCGTTTACCTCCTGAAGAGGCGATGGAAAAATCCTCTCCTCCTTTCCTGATCTGCCATCTTCCTCTTCAGCTTTGCCATCTCTGTGGCTCTGTCCTCCATCTTCCGTCCAAAGAATCCTAGAATTCTTTTCCTCAGCTCGAGGCAAATATCCTCGAGGATGACATTTTCCTGGCCAAGAACCATCTTTTCCTTCTCCAGGACTTCCTTTTCCTGCCCAAGGACCATCTTTTCGTCCTGGAGAGCCAACTTTTCTTGCCCCAGGAGCATATTGTCCTGGCCCAGGGCGATATTTTTCTGCCCCAAGAGCATATTTTCCTGGGCCAGAGCGATATTTTTCTGCCCCAAGAGCATGTTTTCCTGGCCCAGGGTGATATTTTTCTGCCCCAAGAGCATATTTTCCTGTTCCAGGGCCATTTTTTTCTCCCCCAGGACAATCCCTTCCTCATCTAGAACCTTCTTTCCCTCCTCCAGAACCTCAATTTTCTGTTCCAAGAACATTCTTTTCTGTTCCAGAACGTTCTTATGTTCCTCCAGCTGCGTTGTCTTGGCCTGCTCAGCATGGAGGGCAAAAACCACGTTTTGGTGTTCTGCCAGGAGAATCTCGTACTCTTGTGTAGAGTTTGTCTGGATCTGTTGGAGTTTGGCCGCCTTCTCTGAGAAGTGGTCCGCAAGTTCAAGGTTGTTTGACTCGATCGCCCTACTTACCAGAAGCTGCACTTCTGCTTCACGATCTTCAAACATCTTTTTGACATCTTGAAGACTCTCTTTCAGACTTGAGATCTCTGACGCTTGACTCGTAATGGTTTGTTGAGCCGCTGTCATATCTGTCTTATCTGCGTTCTGCAGATTACTTGGCCCTGGAGCAACCGTTTGGTTGGCGGCAAGCTTCTTCCAAAAACGCATTTTTTTGGAAAAATCCATTGTATTGTTTTCTGTTTTGGGAGAATTTCTGTCTTTGTCCTTCCTTTCCTGTGTAAATCCTCTGTCTAAATCTTGAACGCTTATCCCCGTAGGTGTTGGATGAAGTCTGATGTGTGCTTGTGAGTGGCTGTATAACTACAGAAGATCGACGCGTGGTGCGCCTTCCATGTATGCCTTACATTGTATGCATCAATGTGATGTATACACTGACATCAATGGAAGGGGCACCCCCCTTGGATCTTCAGTAGATATACAGCATCACAGCCGATTCCATCGATGATGTCACAGTGTCTACATCCAAGGGGCGTGGCCTAAATGATTCCATTATGATGTCAGTGTATACATCACAGCCAATTCCATCGATGATGTCACAGTGTCTACATCCAAGGGGCGTGGCCTAAATGATTCCATTGATGATGTCAGTGTATACATCACCGCCGATTCCATTGATGATGTCACAGTGTCTACATCAAAGCCGCTTCCATCGATGATGTCACAGTGTGTACATCAAAGCCGCTTCCATCGACGATGTCACAGTGTATACATCAAAGCCGCTTCCATCGATGATGTCACAGTGTCTATATCAAAGCCGCTTCCATCGATGATGTCACAGTGTCTATATCAAAGCCGCTTCCATCGATGATGTCACAGGGGGAGTGACAATATTGATTCGCAGGATGGGAGAAAACTTTTTTTTTTAAGTTTAATGTTTTTAGTTTATTAATTTTAGTATTTAGTTTTAGATGTAAATTCTTATTTCTTAATTCTTTTAATTGCAGGTCTATGATAGTCGTACCGGCTTTCTCTTATACTGCCATATTATGTTTTATGGTTTGCTTGGTCTCGTCCTGCGATTTACAGAGTTTGGTCACTAATGCTGTTAAATTCTGGGTGGTGTGGCGCAAATCCCGGATCTCCTTTAACAACTCGCCATGTCAGTCATTCTCTTCGGCATTCGGTACAACCAGCGCAGCGTCCTCTCTCTGCTCACCTACAGCCTTCTGGTCTCGCCTCCTCTCAGGTCCGATTCGAGGTCCTCAACACGGCGTATTAATTCCTCATCGCTTATTAGGTCGTCGTATCTTGAGGTAAAAAGTTCCGGCTCTTCATTCGGTGTAGTCCACGCCGCCAAAGGCTGTCTGCACAATAATAAAAGAAAGTGTATAAATATATGCACATAAGCTCAAACCCAAAAATATGTCTCGATTGATACATACCTTTTAACCTTTTGTGTGTTTAACCTTTTGCATGTGTTTATCACCTCGTGCCTGTTTGGGAGGAAACTATAGACCTGTGTAAAAATGTTTTTATATAACACAAGTTATATAAAGTGGATAGAGATATTATTACATTACACACGCACTAACAACTTTATTACCTCCCCTGGTGTCCTGACGGGTGGGAGCTAACGCGGGCCTTTTTATTGGAGGTTTAAACACCGCGGGGCCTTCTGATGGATACCACAGCCCTGAGTAGAAAACATTTTTGAATGTTATATAATGTAGATAAAGACCTAAAATGTTGCTATATCGGCCAATAAAAACTTCAATTCCTCCCCACATGTCCTTGGATGTGGACTCTATCGCAGGCGTTTTTATTGTGGGTTTAACCCACTTTGGTCCTTTTGGAGAACACCCTGGAGAATGTTTGACAAAAATTCTATAAGTAGGTGAAAGGTCTCAAATGTTATAATATCATGCGGTTCACGTCCTTACCATCCAAGGACGGCTTACTTGTTGAGGGTTGTGGTAAGCCACTCAATGCTTGTTGCGAGTTGTTTTTGTATTTCTTGAAGGTTTCTTAGCTCGGTCTGCAGGCCTGTTTCCACGCTTTTTGTAGTTAGGATCCTAAAGATGGTGGAAGGCTGTCTGCAGTCGCTTTCTAAAAGATATTTGCATACATGTAAATACAATTTAAATACGTTAAGATGGAGAAAATGAAACAATTATAAAATCACTAGACCTCATCGATGCTTTAGATGGTTAACCCCCCTCTGGACTGTCATATCGTTGAGAAACCTTAATGAATATATACTTGTAAGTATAATGCTTGTTTTACTAAAACACGTAATCAACAATAAAACACACTACTCACCACCAAGGTGTTCCATCGTCGCTCAGGGTGGCAAAATAGGATCCTTGTAGACAAGAGTATCTAAAACTCTCTGTAACCACGTACTGCAACAAAGTTGTTTAAAAATTCCCCCAAATACCTAAATAGATGCTTTTGTGTGGGGGTGGTTACATACACCTATTGGGCCCTGGGTATTTTCTGGTCAAAATGTGTCTGCTCAACCTGTCTGTTGTTTGTTTCTGATAATGCTTATGTGACTTCATAAGCATAAGCAACCATAGAAAACACCTTCGAGCACGAGCAGAGGTTAACCTCGCGAGCAACAAAGTTCACGTTCCGCAAGCGAGCAAGTATCTCGCGGGGGACAAACTTTTGCTCGCGGATGTTTGATTTACGCGCGCGCATCAACTCGATTTGCGCTCTCGAATTTTGACAGGGATTTGCCGCCGTAGATGGATGTCAGGTCGGTAATTGTCACTGCACACTCATGAGACACTCTGGATATTTCGATGCGAATGAAGCATGGTGCGTATC